CTCATCTGCAACCTCGTTACAAAAGTCTCTGAAATATGTAAGTAAAACAACATTTAGATAACCCAGAGGCATTTTTGGAAACCAGTGCTGTGAACTGATGAGGTAAAAATTGAATGCTTTGGCCACAATCAAAGATATATTTGGAGTGCTTTTTATGTTTCAGTGTTCGCCAGGTGCAACTGGCCAGCACTGATTAGCACTTAGGCTTCTGGGAGTTGGAGTTTTTGGAGCGGCGCCTAGCAGCTCTCCTGGCACAATGTCCAGGCCCCCTACTTGTCAGCAAATTCTGGAAGAGAATGTAACACAGTCAGTCAACAAACTGAAGCTGAAAAGAGGTTGACAATGATCTAAAACACACATCAAAATCCACCATGAACTACTTAAGGAATGCAAGATATAGCATCTGCATGTAGATCTTAAACATGCTGTCCATGCAAGCCAGCCCAAGAATATCACAAAACTACAAGTGTTTTGCAAGGAAGGAGTGGGTGAAAATTCCTAAAAAAAGAACAGAAAGACTTCTAGCTGGTTAACATAAACAGGCATAGGGCTGTGACAATAAACGCATTACCACAATATTGCTGTCATGTGATGCCTACTGCAGGAGTGAGCTCATTATTGTCATCGATGCAATTTATTTATTCATTGATTGATTAATTGCATGTTTTGCATTTCATTTTTTTATTGCTTTAGTAGCCTGATAATTAAGTAAGGGAAGGGGAGAGATAGAAGAGAGAGAGAAGAGACTGAAACAGTGGGGGCAGTTAACAGTGACCAAATGAGAGACAGGAGGCAAGGAAGACAGAAAGTGCACAGAGAGAAAATGCTGCTTGTCATCCATCCATCCACAACAGAGCCAGGCCATAAAACCAATGGCTCTGGTGCTCAAATTAATTAGAATAAGTTTCTTTACAGCTATTGTGCATCACGCAAATCCTGCTGCCTCTGGAGGTGCTACAAGCTCATGATACAGCACAATGGTGGAGGAGATGAAGACCATCACTGGTGTTAATATCCTCATGGGGATACACCACATTCCATCCCTTGCAGAATACCAGAGCATTAACTAAAAGGGGGACTTTTATTCTCTTGTGTATCATTTGTGTTGCGGTGGCAGCCTTTGCATTTCTGTGGTAGCCTGTATGGCAGTCGGAAATGGTGAGAGTGTGTGCTCTATATTTAAACTGTTAAATGAGAGGTAAAGTTAATCCTTTGAGGCTTCAGTTAAGGGACTCGGGAACTAAATGTTTGGGAGAGTTATTACGAATGTAAATATGTCTTTTCACGAGCTGGCGGCAAGCAAGGCTACCGAGTGTAATGCTGTTTAACTGGTTAGTCACTGTTGTGCATATACACACATACTCAGTGCAAATGCATGTTACTGAGTGATTCTTCTTGGAAACTTCACAGTTTAGATGTTTATCACAAAGCAAAATGCATTAAGCATTAAATGCATTAAATCTCTGCATAGCAGCAACCTTTATGTTAGTTACTGCAGTTTATTAAGAGTACATATAAACGTGGCATTGATATGCATGTACCTTTTCTTTGTGTTTGTTTCAGAAATTGCTTCCATTATGTGTAAAAGTACATATATGTAAATGTTCAGCAGCAACCACTTGAAATGTTACAGTCCATTCTACACAGTAAACAAGAATCCATCTGATGACTTTGTACTGTCTGACCGGAGTCCTGTAGCAGCCAGTATCAATCTACAACCAGCTCGGTTGGTAAAACAGAACTAAGGTACTTTAAACCAGCTCATATTGGCTACTTCAGAAAATGTCAGAATCAGTGTTTTATGTTCATAATGAGGCTCAAGAGGGCCTTCAAAGTGTGGTCACTTCCCTAAGTATCTGGAAGATTATATCATTGACCACAGCCATCACTGAAATGTCTTTTCCTCCCACCATATTGAGAGAGAGTCGGGGAAACAGAGAAGAGCAGCAGTCGCAGCAAATGGTTGTCAAGCGGGTATGACTCCCTGCCTTGGGGAACAAACAGCCTCTCACAGCCCGGTTGAGGGATTCTTTGAGAAAACTGATCGAATCCATCTCTAAGAGTCAGAGGGAAGAGACTGCTGAAATGGCTCAGCTCACCAGCAAACCTAACCAGAATGAGCAGCATCAACACCGTCACCAGGAGGTGATGGAACACATTATGTCATTTCTGATGGGAGAAGAGGAAAATGGGAACCAGCTAAGAATGAAAGGAGCAGTACATCTAATGGGTATGTCACCTAAAATGCCGCCCAGTACACTCCCAAGGTTCCCCTCTGCTCTAAACTCTTCTCATACTCCACAAGTGAAACAATCTCACATTATAGAGTCTCATGCAGAGGCGCTAGCCACTGACTGCATGTCTGTGAGAGGTCAGACTCCTATTACAGATGCAGATCAATCCAAATCTGTATTTGTGCCTACCAGCTATCTCCTCAGAAACTTCCAGATTACCTGCATCCCCCCCATCTCATCTGGTATGGTAAACCCCGGGTCAGACCACCAGCAAAACTACAGTAATTCAAAGCCTCTGATAATGCAGTATTGTGAGCTATCTTACTCCCACAGTGCTTCTGACCGAGCTCTGCAGCACCAAGCACAATAACTTTTAGTAGCACAAACTCCTATAAACCAACACTACTGCTCAGTGGACAGCACCAGCAGATTTGGGCATGTCTCAGCATCTGCTATACCGTGTGCCATAAACTAAAATCCCTGATTTCTCCACTGATAGCGAGACAGAATTTGCAAACTTGAAACTGGCTTTAGACAGCTTGCTTGAGCCTCACCCGGAATTATCAGAGAGGTATAAATATCATGTACTGCTAGAGCACCTCAAGCTATCTGAAGCTTAGATGATTGGTCAGTCCTGCCGTCACCATCCATACCCATACTCAGACGCTATGCAAGCCCTTCAGCTGCAGTATGGACAGCTGCATCAGCTAGCTTAAAGTGAAATAGCAGCAATGCTCAATCCCTACAATCTACAGGACTTCGTTGGCTACAAGTCAAGGCACAACAACAGCGTTTTTCAATTTGATAAGTACAACACCAAACAGGAGAGGCTTCTGAGCAGTGGGAAGGAGAAGACCCCACCTAAACCAAGGGGTCAAAGCGCTGCAGTATACCATGGCATTGAACCTTGAGTATAAAGCTGTGTTTACCTCCACCCATCCCATGAAGAAGAAACAACCCACTGTGCCTTTTCTCCTCTGTGATAGCAAGGAACACTATATTAGCTGCTGCAAGAGCACTGTCAGTGGGAGATCTGATTGAGTGGTTTTCAGAGGGAAAGTGCAGCTGGAAGTGCACTTATTCACATACACATGCAATCTGAAGAAACTCTGCAGTGTCTGTGGCCTGTGGCAGCATTCGTCTCCAGGTTCTTTACGGCCCGCTCAATTGATCATCAGCCACACATCTCTAAGTGACTAAAGTGACACTCACCATCCACCAACACAACAGTGTTAGAGTGGCTTCAGTCAGACTCATGCAGATTTAAGGTGTTTGTTTGATCTTGTGTATCAGAGATACAAGAATTGACACACTCAAATGCTTGGCGTTATGTGAATACCCACAACAACCCAGCTGGGTAAAGCCCCTTCAAGCACTGACGGAGGAATACACAGACAGCTGCTGCAGGCCAAATCGTCCAAGCTATCTGCGCCAGATCCCATTGACCAGCGAATCACTGATTTCCTGACAAACAAGAGACAGCAGTGGGAAGAGTCTGCCTACAGAAAGAAAGAAAGTCGAGCAGATGGTCTCCTGGTGCAGCAGCACCAACCTGCTGCTAAACACACAAAAAAACTGTGGAGATGGTGGTGAACAGAGAACGTTCTTCCTGAGACAGCTGAAGAAATTCATCCTGCCACAGAGCCTGAGTATCCAGTTCTACAAAGCGATCATGGAGTCCCTCCTCAAGTCACGTCATCCATAATCTGGTTTGGTTCTTCCACCTCACAAGAACAAGCCAAAGTCTAGCGCATAATCAGGACAGCGGAGAGAGTTATTGGATGTAGTTTGCCAATGCTTCAGGACATCTGCAACAGCAGGATGAATCGCGACGGCAAAATGACAGCTGACCCCTCTCATCCTACACATCACCTCTTCCAGCCACTCCCCTCTGGTAGAAGATTCAGGGCCATCAAAACCAGCACAACCAGACTAACAGCTTTTTCTCCAGATCTATAGCACTCATCAACCACAGTGGACACCTTTCAACTTGAACTAAACCAACAAACCTCCTCACTTTATTACAATTACTCCTCTGTATTATAATGCTACTTGCACAACTGTACAGATGTAACATTTTTACAAATTTCTATAATATTCAGTATATAATAGTTTTTATAGGATATTTTATAGTGTATGTCCATCCAGACTTGCATATACAGACATTTATATCTGCATGCATACAGATATCCACACATCTCTTTAACTCCTTTCACATAGCTTTTTTATGGCTTATTTTATTCACTGTATTTTATTTTATTTGTCCCTTATTACCAAATACTTGTTAATAGTCTGTGCTGACTGGTCTGTTTAGTATGTTACATGTCATACATGTGTGCACTCACCAAAGCAAATTCCTTGGATGTGCAACATGCATGGTGAAATAAAGTGATTCTGATTCTGAATTGATATTTAAAAATAACACTGTAGAAACCAAAAAAAAAAAACACTAAATGGAACCGCATTAGGGTCAAATAGGGTTAAATACAACCACACATTAAAGTGTTAAATTTTCAAGACATAGTGGTAGCTGGGTAGATAATATAGATAATTTTGACCTACAACCTGTTTGCTGAAAAAGAGAACTAAAAAGAGTTAAGTGATCTTTTCGGTTGGCAGCTGAGACGGCAGAACAATTGAACAAACGGGAATTATCCAAAAATGAAAAGAGTGAAATTGCTTTAGGGTGAAACAATTTAACATTCAAATGAATCTGGTAAGTGCTAAAGTATTGGAAAAGCAGAGTTGTACCTGGTATTGTTGCAGGCTTATGGCTCTATCTGTAACAGCACAGTAAGGTTGGTCATTCGGTTGGATATTCAACTTTCTCTTCTTGATTTTTCATTAAGTAAAGGTTCAATAGGTTCAAACCTACGTTTTCCCAGTCGGACTCAGGGTCAGACTGTTGGCAGAGCTGCTAGAGAGGACTTATCACAAGAAAGAGGACCAAGAGCGTAAAAAAGTAAGTTTGATCCTCAATACAGCCAAATTTCATTTGGATTTTTTAACTACTATTATTCAGTTATGGTGACTCTAATTTGTAAGTTGAGTAGTTATGAGTGAGGAATTTAACTGTGGCTTTGCAGTTTCCTCTCTATCAAATACATCCAGGGTGAAGGCTGGGCATGTGAAGATCCAGGGCTGAGCCCAGTTCATTGTAGATGTGTTTTGGGAGACTGTTCCCCCGATTTTTAAATTAACCTGTAAAACGTGCAGTTGCCACTTTAATTTAATGTTAGGATTTACACATCAACATAATGTGTGTTGATTCAGCAGTGTTGAGTGGCATGTCTTATAAAAGAGAGTGAAGATAAAAAAATTGCATCAAAAAACAGAGACGTTTCTATAATGACATTGTCAAGTCCTTTGCACATTTCATCTCTCTCCACATAAACCAGTTTTTTTTACATGTCTCCTCTCTAATGTCCTGCTTACAGATAAATTATTTATGTTTAGTTTTTGTACATTTTAAAACACAAAGTAGTCATTCATTAAAACTCTTCTTGCCTAAAACCAAGCAAAAAGCAATGTTTAAAAAAACAAAGAGCATGCTAAGACACAATGTCCCGTCTTGGTAAATTTGTGACCTCTTAAACATTGCTAGGAATCTGCAACAAAATATCAGGTAAACATTAGGTATGTAACATCGGACTAGTGTCAGGCTTGATATCAAATGAGTGATTTTTTTTAAGTACTCTGTAAAAAAAAACCAAAAAAAAAACAAAAACTTTGGGCTTAAAAAGTATATAACCTGGCTGCCTTAAAATTTTAATGTTATTGCACTTCAAATAGTAAGTTAACAGAATGTAAAAGATAATAAGTGTTCTGTTAACTTACTATGTTCAGGGAACCTGAAATTGTAGTTATAATGATTGTTTTTGCTTTGTTTTTCACTCTCTGTGCCATGCGTCTCTCTCTCTCTCTCTCTCTCTCTCTCTCTGTGTCCCAGTGCATATAGTGATTAGGAAATTCCAGCCCTCAGACCGTGAGGCTGTGACAGCTATATTTCGAGATGGACTCCAGGAGCACATCATCCCGTCCTTCACTCATGCCATTTCTCAGCCACTCCACATCACTGTGACCCTGTGCTTTTTCACTGTGGGCTATATACTAGGTGGAGGATCAGTTGTCCTGGCCCTGCTGGCTGGAGGTTTCTGGATAGGTCTGCTGTACTACTGCTGCTATGAGCTCTATGCAGGTTTTGTCAGATTAAAGCTGAACACAGACATGCGGGACATTGCAGGCTTCTACCTCAGCAGTCCAGATAACTACTTCTGGGTCGCTGAGGCTGAGATCAATGGGCAACCACTGATCATGGGTATAGTGGCTGTGGAGGGCAAAGAACTTCCAGACAGCCGGCAAAAGTATGGAGAACTTTTCCGAATGAATGTGTTGTCCACATCTCGCCGCACTGGCCTCGGCTCACGACTTTGTAAAACAGTCATAGACTTTTGTAAAGAGCGAGGGTTCGTGAAGATTGTGCTTGAGACTACTTCTACACAGACAGCAGCTGTGGCTTTCTACAGTAAGATGGGCTTCACGCTTGTGCGGACTGATCAGCAAGCTGAAGCTCCTTGGTGGGGCCTCCGGCTGGCCAGAAATACTATGCTTAGGACGGAGAAAATCCTACAGCCATGACCTTCTATTTAAGGTTAATAACACCGTATTTAAACCTCTGTGGTGTCAGCAATTATATATCACGTCTGAAGTATGATTTTTCTGGTTCTGGTTTCTAATCAAAACAAACAAACAAACAAACTGATGAAGCAAAATGTTTTGGTGTACAAAGTAATTAACACATGTTAGAGGAATATCCTATTATGTAAATGAACATATTAATGCATTTTAAGGAATTTTCAATCATGAAAAATGGGAATACTTTATACTTCATCCTTTCAAATTATGTTATGTATGTGTAGCATAAATGTTATGATGATACTATTATTGTAAGTTTTTACTTCATATTAATGAATCCCTAATCAGATATCTTCACTAGAGTTCAAGTAACATATTGCTGTACTATCAGCAGCTTTAGCAAATTTAGCAACTTTGAAATGGAATTTTCAGGTTTCATGTTCATTTAAAAATCTTTTTCTCCTTCAGGTTCCAGGCATGAAATTATTAATGTCAATTAATAAGTATATGCACAGATGTAATCAACGCAATTACATGTTACTTGTTGTTACTTGTTGTTACATGTTACATGTTGAGATGTTTTTGTTGGGAACTTCACAGTTTAGATGTTTATCACTGTGAGTATTCTGATTAAGTCTTTGCATAGCAGCAACATTTATGTTAGTTACTGTAGTTTATTAAGAGTATATATAAACATGGTATTGTTGTGCATGTACCTTTTCTTTGTTTCAGAAATTGCCATCATGTATATATGTGCACATATATGCATGTAAATGTACAGTGGCAACCACTAGAAATGTTACAGTCCATTCTACACAGTAAACAAGTTGAATCCATCTGATGACTTTGTACTCTCTGACTGGAGTCCTGTAGTGGCCAATACCAATCTATAACCAGCTCAGTTGATAAAACAGAACATAGGTCCTTCGAGCCAGATACTATTGGCTACTTCAGAAAATGTCACCAGAAGACCAATCAGCATTTCATGCTCATATTGAGGCTCAAGAGGGCCCTTCAAAGCGTGGTCACGTCCCTAAGTATTTTGAAGATTATATCCTTGACTGACTACAGCCACCACTGACCTGCCCTTTCCTCCCATCCTACCGAGAGAGAGTGAGGGGAGCAGAGAGGAGCAGTAGCTGCAGGGAATAGTAGTCAAGCAGGTATGACTCCCTGCCTTGGGGAACAAACAGCCTCTCACAGCCCAAACTACACAGACCAGTTGAGTATGGATTCTTTGAGAAAACTGATCGAATCCATCTCTAAGAGTCAGAGGGAAGAGACTGCTGAAATGGCTCAGCTCACCAGCAAACTGAGGCAACACATTATGTCATTTCTGATGGGAGAAGAGCAAAATGAGAACCAGTTAAGAATGAAAGGAGCAGTACATCTAATGGGTATGTCACTTAAAATGCCGCCCAGCACACTCCCAAGGTTCCCCTCTGCTCTAAACTCTTCTCATACTCCACAAGTGAAACAATCTCACAGCATAGAGTCTCATGCAGAGGCGCTAGCCATTGACTGCATGACAAGGTCAGACTCCCATTACAGATGCAGAGTAATCCCAATCTGCACTTGTGCCTACCAGCTATCTCCTCAGAAACCTCCAGATTACCTGCATTTATCCCCTCACCTGACATGGTAACCCCAGGGTCAGACCACCAGCAACTATAGTAAGTCAAAGCCTCTGGCCAATGCTTGCTCTCATAGTGCTTCTGGCCAAGCTCTGCAGTACCAAGCACAACACCTGTTGGTAGATCCAGCACTTATAAACCAGAACTCTTCAGTGCCACATTCTCAGCCGCCACCAGCCCCAACAGCATTTGGTCCCAACCATGCTCCCCTACATTATGCCTCTACTGCTAAGTGGATAGCACCACCAGATTTGGGCATGATTCAGCGTCCACTGTACAGTGTGCCGAAACCGAAAATCCCTGATTTCTCCACTGATAGTGAGACCGAATGCGTTAACTTGAAACTGGCTTTAGACAAATTGCTTGAGCCTCACCCGGAGCTGTCAGAGAGCTTTTAATATTAATATCATGTACTGCTAGAGCTCAGATGATCAGTCCTGCCGTCACCATCCATACCCACACTCAGCAGCTATGCAAGCCCTTCAGCTGCATTTTGGACAGTCGCATCAGATAGCTCAAAGCGAAATAGCAGCAATCCTTACCAGACCTAATGTGAAACCCAATGATGCATGCAGTTTCCAGAGCTCTGCATTGGGTGTATACCTTTTAGTTAGCATGCTGATTTCCCTAGAGGGCCCCCATGGTACAGAGCTCAACTGTTGCTCAAATGTAGATTGCCTCTTTAGCAAACAACCTAAGTACCTTTGAGATGGATTTATTGAGTTACTTCATCTTCAGAGGAAGCTTAATGCCCTAAGCCTCAACCCCTACAGTCTCCAGGACTTTGCTGGATGGCTATAAATCAAGACACAACAACAGCATCTTTCAAGTTGATTAGTACAGTGCTAACAGGAGAGGCTTCTGAGCAGTGGGAAGGAGAAGACCCCACCTAAACCAAGAGGTCAAAGCATTGCAGTATACCATGGCATTGAACCTGCAGAGCCTAAGGCTATGTTTACCTCCACCCAGCCCGAGAAGAAGAAACAGCCCACTGTGATAAGAAGGAACACATTAGCAGCTGCAGTAGATTTAAAGAACTGCCAGTAGGAGATCTGATTAAGTGGGTTACACAGGGAAAGCACTGCTGGAAGAGCACTTGTTCTCATAAACCTGAAACATGCAATCTTAAGAAACCCTGCAGTGTCTGTGGCAACATTTACCTCCAGATTCTTCAAGGCCTGTCCCAAGGCCGCTTGATTAACCATCGGCCAGACACCTCAAAGAGTCGGATTTGCCTAAGACCCTCTGTTGCATCAGTTAAGGTTTTAAAAGTAGTACTAGTCCTGCTACATACCAAATCCAAGATGACAGACACTTTTGCTGTTCTACATGATGGAGCACAGCGAACTATCTTGCCTGCCACTGTCCAGTAGGTATAGTTAGAAGGTGAGTGTGAGACACTAACCCTCTGTGCTGTATGGTCTAACATTACTAACCTCATTGGGTCTAAAGTCACCTTTCAGATCTCTCCCAAGGCTAGTAATATGTCAATAGTGCTATAGAGTGCAAAGGGCATTCAGTGCCTCAGGCCTGGACCTGATGGAACAGTGCTACCCAGTCCAGAGCCTTCAGAGATGGCACCTCCACTTAGGAGGAGTTTCACTGCAGTCCTTCCATAATGTACGTCCACTAGCGTTGATTGGCTCGGATCATGTTCACCTCATCACCGCTGAGGGAACAAAGGTGGAGCAAAGGTACCTTCTCTGTAAGCTTGATCCACCCAAGCTTAAAGGTTCCATCCACTCTATCATAGTGAACTTGACAAAGATCCAGGAGACTTAAGTGAGACCCTGAGAAGGTAGTCACCTATTTGGTGGAAATAAAAAAGCTTGTTCAAGCAGGACACGTCATTAAGCTACAGCCTGAAGAGGTACAGCAGGTGAAAGAGAGGTCGTATCTCCCCATCATTCAGTGTGTCCCAACAACAAACCAAGACTAGCATTCAACTGCTCCTTCAAGTCTCAAGGTATGTCTCTAAACAAACAACTCCTGCAGTAACACTGATGTGGTGGTGGTGTATTAGTGTGTGTTGTGCTGGTCTGAGTGGATCAGACACAGCAGTGCTGCTGGAATTTTTAAACACCTCAGTGACTGAGAATAGTCCACCAACCAAAAATATCCAGTCAACAGTGCCTGTGACCACTGATGAAGGACTAGAGGATGACCAGCACAAACTGTGCAGCAGCAGATGAGCTATCGTCTCTGACTTTACATCTACAAGGTGGACTGACAAGGTAGGAATGTCTAATAGAGTGGACAGTGAGTGGACACAGTGTTTAAAAACTCCAGCAGCACTGCTGTGCTACTATGCAAAAGTTTCAACACCCCTGTTCTAATGTTTTATTGATTTTCTAAGTGAAAATAAGTCAACACATCTTCTACAGGGAACACACAAAATACCATATTTTCTGCAAATTTTAGTGCACAATATTTAACATTGGACAAAAATAAAACATTAAGTATAAAATGCGCAATAACTTTTGCACAATAAGTTTTTTTTATTAATTTTTTTTATTTACATGTTAAATTCAGCAGCTGAACAATGATCGTACCGTAAAACAGTAACAGAATCCAAAATCCAGAAAAGAAGATTAAACCAGAAATACCAACAATACTAAGAGGGCTAGGCAAAAGACAAGGTTAAAAGCAAACAAAGCAATGGTCATACATGGAAAAGCGAACTAACTGATTGGAAGGCTCAGTAAGGCTCTGTGTGACAATAGCAATACTTGGCAAAGTGCCGGGAAGTAGTAAAAGTGGGACCAAAGGGAAGTGTGACATGGTGATGTGGGACCAGGGACGATTAGGGACAGGAAGGGGCATGAGTTTCCCTGCGGGTAATGTCTTAGGGGTCTTACATTGTGCCCAAACAGAACAGGATGAAATAAATCTATGAACATTGATCTTAAGCGTTTCCCACCAGTACAGAATTGTAACAAGCTGTTGCATGAGTGTCTTGCCTGGGTGTCCTGATGTGAGAGAAGAGTGAACCCATGAAATGAGGCAATCTCTGAACTGTTTGGGGACATAAATTTTATCTGGAGGGCAATGGAAAGGTATGTTGATGTTTCTAAGAGCTCATTTGATCTCATCTAATTCCCAACAGATGGAAGCGATTTGAACTGATGTGGGAAGGATGGGTTCAGGTTCACAAACAGACTCTTCTTTGTCATTCTGATGTATGCGGGATAGGGCATCGACTTTGGAATTACAGGTACCGGGACGAAATGTGATGTTAAACTGGAAACATGAGATAAAGGGTGACCAATGAGCTTGGTGAGGATTAAGACGTTTGGCTGACTGTAGATATTCCAAATTCTTGAGATCTGTGAGAACCAAAAATAGATGCTGAGCTCCCTTCTACCAGTGCCGCCATTTCTCTAATGCTAGTTTTACTGCGAGTAGTTCTCCATCTCCTATACTGTAGTTCCATTCTGCAGGTGAGAGCCTGTGTAAGAAAAAAGCTGTAGGATGAAGTTTAGGGGGATCTCCACTATGCTAGAATAGAACTGCACTGACTCCTGATCTCCTGATTCTGATGCATCTACCTCTACTACAAAAGGCAAAGGTGGGTCTGGGTATTTGAGAATGGGGGCAGTAGTGAAAGCCATTTTCAGTGTATTGCATGCCTCCTCTGCACTGGGACTCCAAACTAACTTAGTTGCTCCCTTCAGAAGAGCAGTAAGGGGAGCGGCGATGGAACTCGAGTTCCTAATGAACCTTCTATAAAAATTAGTGAAACCTAAAAATCTCTGAAGTTCTTTCACGGATGTAGGGACAGGCTAGTTAACCACAACCTCAACTTTGTGGTCATCCATAATAACCTCTGTAGGGCTAAGTACATAACCATCTATGTAGGCTATAACAAACTTCCCTATCATGTCCTGTAAAATGTTGTTTATGAAGGACTGAAAGACAGAGGAGCATTAGAGAGCCCGAATGGCATTACGAGGTACTCTTAGTGACCTCTAGAGGTCACAAAAGCGGTTTTCCATTCATTTCCTTCTCTGGTTCTGATCAGATTATAGGCACTACGTAAGTCTAGCTTAGTAAAGTGCTGGAGTCCTCTGAGCTGTTCAAGGGTGACACAGATGAGCGGAAGAGGGTATGCAAATTTCTTGATGATAAATGCTCTACAATATATACAAAGAAAACAATATATACAAAGAAAAACGAAGAAAAAACAGAGGCTGAAGGAGATGTGGAGGGACAGAAAAAGCCTTGAGCTAATGCTTCACTGACATACTCCTCCATGGCTTTCTCTTCTTCTAAAGTAAGGGGGTACACTCTGGATTTCAGAAGAGTAGCCCCCTCAGTAAGGTCTATAGCACAATCATAAGTGCTGTGTAGTGGCAACTTGGTAGCATTAACCTTGCTAACGTAAAAGTCTGGAATCTAAACAGGATTAACATTATCAGGGCTCTCTATTGAAGGTGAGTTTATGGTAAGTGGATCAGACACAGCAGTGCTGCTGGAATTTTTAAACACCTCAGTATCACTGCTGGACGGAGAATGGTCCACCAACCAAAAATATCCAGCCAACAGCGTCCTTTGGGCAGCGCCCTGTGACCGCTGATGAAGGACTAGAGGATGACCAACAAAAACTGTGCAGCAGCAGATGAGCTATCGTCTCTGACTTTACATCTACAAGGTGGACTGACAAGGTAGGAATGTCTAATAGAGTGGACAGTGAGTGGACACAGCGTTTAAAAACTCCAGCAGCACTGCTGTGTCTGATCCACTCATATCAGCACAACACACACTAACAAACCACCACCGCCACGTCACTGTTACTGCAGTGCTGAGAATGATCCACCACCCAAATAGTCCCTGCTCTGTGAGGGACCATGGGGTTCCTGACCACTGAAGAAAAGTGTAAAAGTGGGCTAACAAAGTATGCAGAGAAACAGATGGACTACAGTCTGTAATTGTAGAACTACAAAGTGCACCTATATAATAAGTGAAGCTGATAAAATGGACAATGAGCGTAGAAACACGGACATAATGTTATGCCTGATTGGTGTATGGTCATGGCCTTTTTTGTTCTGCATGAAATGTTAGAAAAAGGAAAGTAATAATTCCTTATATGTGCCTAATACATTATATAAGGTAATATCTCTTCACATTTACATTTACATTAAAAGTAAAAAAAAAAAAAAACATTAAGTATAAAACATGCGATTCCTTTTGCACAGTCAACATCATGTTTTGTTTTTTTATTTATGTTCTTTATTAATATGTTAAATTCAGTAGCTGAACAGTAAGCTTGCCGTAATATTTGCAGAAGTGTGCTCTCTGTATAGGATATGTACTTATTTTCAAGTCAAATCAAATTCAAATCAACAAAACATGTAACATGATCAGGGGCACCTACATTTTTGCATATGTCCCTAATTCACCTCCTCAAACTACAGACTTATTATTGAGATGTAAACCTTTAGACTAACTATTCAGTAACTACTAAATGTTACTACTAATATGTTATGCGGTTATGAGAGTGAAGAAATGAAGTATGAACGTACAGTCCTGGGCTTTTTTCTACATGAAATGTTTGAAAAAGGAAAGTAATAATTCCTTATATGTGCCTAATATATTATATTTAGTAACATCTCTTCATGTTACATTAAAAATTACTGACTGTTTGGTTTTGTAGTGACTTTATTAATGATTCCATGCATTTGAAATACATGTTGATCATCTGTGTGCTTCTCTCTCTCTCTCTCTCTCTCTCCCTCTCTCTCTCTCTCTGTGTCCCAGTGCATATAGTGATTAGGAAATTCCTGCCCTCAGACCGTGAGGCTGTGACAGCTATATTTCTATATCCCGTCCCTCACTCATGCCATTTCTCAGCCACTAAACATCACTGTGACCCTGTGCTTTTTCACTGTGGGCTATATACTAGGTGGAGGATCAGTTGTCCTGGCCCTGCTGGCTGGAGGTTTGTGGATAGGTCTGCTGTACTACTGCTGCTATGAGCTCTATGCAGGTTTTGTCCAACTAAAGCTGAACACAGACATGCGGGACATTGCAGGCTTCTACCTCAGCAGTCCAGATAACTGCTTCTGGGTCGCTGAGGCTGAGATCAACGGGCGGCCTCACATCATGGGTGTGGTGGCTGTGGAGGCCAAAGAACTTCCAGACAGCGGGCAAAAGTATGGAGAAAAAAGTAAGTACTTTTCCGAATGACCGTGTCTACCGCATCTCGCCGCACTGGCCTCGGCTCGCAGCTCACTCAAACGGTCATGGACTTCTATAAAGAGCGAGGGTTCTCGAAGATTGTGCTTGAGACTAGTTCTACACAGACAGGAGCTATTGCTCTCTACTATAAGAAGGGCTTCACGCTTGTGCAGACTCACGAGCAAGCTGAAGCTCCTTGGTGGGTCCTCCGGCTGATCAGAGTTTCAGTTGTGAGGATGGAGAAAATCCTACAGCCATGTGAAGGGATGTAGATTATCTCTCGTAATCAAATGTAAGATTTTTTATTTATATTTTTTACACCTAGGAAATTTAGCTCTTTGGCCTTTGTGTCTTTGTGAGGTTTGGGCTGTTCGCTGAGAAGGACACTGTGACGTGAGATAAGGAATTGTTATATCCATCTCCAATCTAAACTTAAATTAGTTAACAGTGCTCTACTTTTTCAGGTCCTGCTTACTCTTGAATAACTTAATTTACCTTGAATTTTTGGAGTAAACAATCAAATAAAACAACTCCATTATATTAAATGGAGTGTTTTGTACATTAGCAACTTAAATGACCAATGATCTGACCAATGACTATTGAGTTATAGCTAATCAAGCTAGCAATGCCATGGTCGCAGTAATTAATTGATTGATGCAGACGACCCTGAGTAGAAAAGTCTACATGTTTTTGATAATTATTTACCTACACATGCCAAAGAATTTTTCAGACCAAGTTCGATGGTATCTGCAAAGTTTCAGCTTGATCGGATGTACGAATGCTGAGAAATGGCCGTGTAGCATTAACTCCGCCCCCTAATGACATATGCGCACAAAAATCGAATGGCTACCTCAGAATCTTCTCTTAAATGTGTCTGTCAAGTTTGAAATTTTTTGGCTGAAGGGTTGTCAAATTACAGAATTTTAAATTAATTCTGAATTATTTTGAATTTATCCAGAAGGGTTCATTTGCATATGGCAGCCATGTTGTTTAGAGAAGTCAAAATATTTTTGATAATTATTGAGGTTCAGGCTCTTCTGAATTTTTTGACACCAAAAACATGAAGATCGGGCAAAAATTATAGGACTAGTTCGCAAAAGTAGGTTTTGCATATTATGCAAATTAGCTCAAAATCTAAGTGGGCGGGGCTAAATGGTCCAAATGGCAAAGTTGTTTGGTTGGACCCAAGGAACTAGGAAAAAAATATGGCTTGTCTGGCAAAAATCTGGTTTAGGAGTTATAGACCCAAACGTGTTGACCTGTGCTATAGCGCCCCCTTGTGGCCGACTGGGCTGATTCCTTGCGCCTGAGTAGCGGGAGGGACTACTACCTATTGACCAAGTTTCAAGTCTCTAGGATTTACGGTTTGGGTTGTGCGTTCTGTTTCAGGGAAGAAAAAGAATATGAAGAAAAATCTTGACAATTACAATAGGGTTCAATGCACTGCATGTTTGAACCCTAATTAACAGAAATCAAGTAAGAATGCTGGAAAGCTTCCTGGGCACAAGGCTGTTCAGTTGGGACCACTTATCTAGATTAACTGATCTTAGTTAGATTTTACAAGAGGAGTTGGAGCTCTTGCTGTCGTCATTAAGAGGGACACTGTCTTTGCTGACTGAATCTTACCTATGACGCCATGTTCAGTTCTGTTTCTGAGCCTGTACAAATCGGTGTTATAATAGATTTGAACTCTAACATTGAATCAGCAATAACTGCTTTCATCTCTTTTTGTCAGTTCTATAAATTATTCCTTTTTCATGTTCCCATAATCATGATGAACATTTTTCTTATTAAATTTTATTTGACAATTTTTAAATTCTTATTAAAATCTATTTTACTTTTTAAATTCAATGTGTGACCTTCACTTTTCAGTTTTTGGGGGTATATTGCAACACAGAAATTATGAATGGATGTTTTCAGGCATTTCAAAATCTTAATCTTAATTATGCTGTGGTAATTTACCCACACATGAAACAAATAAAGAGTGTTTTATTCAAATTTTAAAAGCATATCAGCAAACATAATTTATTTATTTATTTTTTTGTTTTAATTTTAGTTTTTCAAAACTTTTCTGAATGGTTGTGTCGTCTGCATCTCGCCGCACTGGCCTCGGCTCGTGACTTGGCCAAACGGTCATGGGCTTTTTAAACTGGAATCCAGGAGCACATCATCGCGTCCTTCACTTACGCCATTTCTCAACCGCTCCACATTCAAGCAACCATTTTGCACATTGTGGAGAGACTTGGAGAAGCCTGTTCGCTTTCGTAATTCCTGCACAGTTTACCTTCTCAAGCACACCTGATTTAACCCATTATTTAACTGACAGGTGTAGTCAGAGTGTTAGAGCGTAAAAAACAACAAACTGTGCTGGACTTCAGCCCTCAGTTTCCCACTGCTGCTCGTTACGTGTTGGAATATTAGCCTTAGCTACATGATGAGTTGACATTTTTAGTTACATCCAAAATTGTAATTTTGGAATATACATCTCTCTCTCTCTCTCTCTCTCTCTCTCTCTCTCTCTCTCCCTCATTCATATATACATATATGAATGAATTTCCCTCATTTTCTTTAAGCATTTTTATAGTCTTTTGGGCTTATCTTCTCCAAAGGTATTGGTAATTCTTTATTCTGTTGTCTTCTGTAATCTTCAAAGATCTGTTGTCTTCAAAGATCTCTCTAGACTGAGTTTATTACAGATGGACAGTTTCATTCTGGGGCCACCAGCTCTCCAAAAGTACAATAAGACACCAACAATTTAGCCAGAGAAAAAAGTTCAGCAATCAGAGTTTCACAGTCATAAACCTCCCTGCTGTAACAAACCATAAATGAAACCGTCTATATTTTACAGTACTTTTCTGTACTGTATTTTACAGAAGAGTTTGTGTTGGATCATTTATTCCAATTTATTCTGGTGGGAATTGTATAAACAAGATTGCTGAGTTTGGACTGTAGGTGGCGGTAGCGGATGAGAGCTCAGACGGCTTGAGCTGGAGGGGAAAAGAGAAGCGAGTGAAGCGGCAGATTCGCAGATTCTGAGCGCACTGGACTCATCAGAGCGGAGACTGATGAGAGTAAACGGATGAAGCGCTTTGGTCTAGTTTACAGTTACTGACTGAGACGGAGGGAGTTAGAGTTATAGGTGGTTCATCATTCAGACAGACAGAGGAAAACAGTCTAATGTAAAAGCTGCATTTTGGTTCTTTGGCACCTTTTGCACTTTGAGCTGCTATAAAAGCTGAAGGTTAAAGTTCCGCTGGTTTGTGTGTCGCGTGACTTGGCGGTACTCACACTTGCTCCGTCGGCAGAGCTGCTAGAGAAGACTGACCACGCTGACCACGAGGAAGAGAACCAAGCGTAAAAAAGTAAGTTTAATACTCAACACACTGGACTGTTGTCAGAGAGTTATCGTGGAGATCAGGCCCCATCACAGACCCCTCCAACCCTGAACATATAACACTGTGCAGACATGCATTCAACGTTCTGCATACAGCGGGATTCACTGTCTGATACAAGACTGACTCCCTCTACAAGAAATGTGCTAAAGACCTTCTTTTACAGGTTTAATGTCATTATAATGGTAAAAAATTTGAAAGGAAAATTCTTTTTTCTCTTTTTTTGTTGAAAAGAAAAAGAAATTAATGTAATTTTTTTTTTTATTAATGATGATAGGTTAATAATTTAATATTGAAAAATGACCTAATGTTCTAACAATTTTTTAGGGCCCATGTCAGTCACAGGTCTTTAGCATCGTCCTAACTTATTGTGGAAAGCAGGCCTTACGCTTCTTAGGCTTAATGTGACTTTATCAGATTCTCCAAATAACGTATTAATGTTCATAATGTTCACATCAGAAATGTACAGTACTATGCAAAAGTTTCAAGACCCCTGCTCTAATGTTTTATCAGTTTTCTAAGTGAAAAATAAGTCAACACATCTTCTACAGGGAACACACAAAATATGACATTTTCTGCAAATTTTATTGCACAATTTCTATTTTTTGTGGATATTAACATGGACAAAAATAAAACCTTAAGTATAAAACATGCGATTACTTTTGCACAGCCAACGTTATGTTTTGTTTTTTTTATTTATGTTTTTGTTAATATGTTAAATTCAGTAGTACTTATTTTCAAGTCAAATCAAATTCAAATCAGCAAAACATGTAACTTAATCGGGGCGCCCAAATCTTTGCATATGTCTGTATGCATATACACTGAGTCCCTAATTCAGCTCCTCAAACTACAGACTTATTATTGAGATGTAAACCTTTAGACTAACTATTCAGTAACTACTAAATGTTACTACTAATATGTTATGCGGTTATGAGAGTGAAGCAATGAAGTATGAACGTACAGTCCTGGGCTTTTTTCTACATGAAATGTTTGAAAAAGGAAAGTAATAATTCCTTATATGTGCCTAATATATATTATATGTAGTAACATCTCTTCATATTACATTAAAAATTACTGACTGTTTGGTTTTGTAGTGACTTTATTAATGATCCCATGCATTTGAAATACATGTTGATCATCTGTGTGCTTCTCTCTCTCTCTCTCTCTCTCTCTCTCTCTCTCTGTGTCCCAGTGCATATAGTGATTAGGAAATTCCAGCCCTCAGACCGTGAGGCTGTGACAGCTATATTTCGAGATGGAATCCAGGAGCACATCATCCCGTCCCTCACTCATGCCATTTCTCAGCCACTCCACATCACTGTGACCCTGTGCTTTTTCACTGTGGGCTATACACTAGGTGGAGGATCAGTTGTCCTGGCCCTGCTGGCTGGAGGTTTGTGGATAGGTCTGCTGTACTACTGCTGCTATGAGCTCTATGCAGGTTTTGTCAGATTAAAGCTGAACACAGACATGCGGGACATTGCAGGCTTCTACCTCAGCAGTCCAGATAACTACTTCTGGGTCGCTGAGGCTGAGGTCAACGGGCGGCCTCACATCATGGGTATGGTGGCTGTGGTGGCCAAAGAACTTCCAGACAGCGGGCAAAAGTATGGAGAACTTTTCCGAATGACCGTGTCGTCCACATCTCGCCGCACTGGCCTCGGCTCCCGACTCGTCCAAACGGTCATAGACTTTTGTAAAGAGCGAGGGTTCTCGAAGATTATGCTTGAGACTAGTTCTACACAGACAGCAGCTGTGGCTCTCTACAGTAAGATGGGCTTTACACTTGTGCAGACTCACGAGCAAGCTGAGGCTCCTTGGTGGGTCCTCCGGCTGGTCAGAGTTACAGTTCTGAGGATGGAGAAAATCCTACAGCCATGTGAAGGGATGTAGATTATCTCTCGACTCAAAGAATCCTTTGCATGATTAAAAGGTTCTTTGCATCATGAAAGGGTTCTTCAGATTGATGGAGAATGTGCTGAAGACAGATGTATAGAACCTTTTCGAAAAGGGTTCTGTGTAGCACCAAAAAGGGTTCTTCTATTGTTACACTGTCAAGCTTCTAACAATAGCAGAACACTTTTTGGTGCTATATAGGGTCCTTTTCAAAAAGGTGCTATATAGAACCATATTCAACCCATTCTCCATCAGTCTGAGGAACTTTCAATGATGCAAAGAACCTTTTAATCATTCAAAGGGCCCTTTGTTCATGGTTCTATAGAGAACCATTTCTTTACTAAACAACCCTTGAAGAACCATCTTTTCTAAATGTGTACTTTTTGAAGTCTTGCTTACTCTTGAGTTGATTAAGTTACCTTGAATTCCTTGTGTAATATATTGGCATCAATCAAAACAACTTCATTATATTATATTGAATTATATTATATTATATTAGTACATCAGCAACTAAATGGCTTAGATAAGACTAGAATCATCCTTTATCTGAAGCCTTTAGTAGCTTAATGCATATTTGCCAGTCTGTTAACATTCATGGCTACAAGCTGAACTGGTAAACCTGAACACAAAACACCATCATGGTGAGAATAGGAAAAACATGTTAAATGCACCCAAACCTCGAGAGTATGCTCTGACACAAAAATGACAGTTTGCAAAGATAATTAGATTTCTAAATAAAAAATAAAAGTTAATTAACAGGAACAAAGTAAGAATGCTGGGAAGCTTCTTGGACACAAGGTTCTTCAGTCTGTATTCAAATTAACTGATCTTAACTAGATTTGACTCAGTCATTAAAGCGTATACAAGAAACTGTAAGTGTTACTAGATTTGTATTAGTAAAAACAGGCTGTTCATGCATGACATCTCAAAACTAAATCTCAAATACAGTAACAGTTTCAGGCCTGTATATTAAAAGACACCATAGGATTGTTACTGGTGACTGTTAATGGCAGTGATGATGTCAATACTGGATGGTCTTATTTTGTGTCATTTTTGACTAAAACAAATAAACAAAACAGGTGACCTCCAACTTATTATTGCCTTAATGAACTTCATTGAGACTTCAACATTAAAAGGTTGGGCAAAATGAGTTACGCCAAACTCGTGTGAGGTTATGCGCATATGTGTGAACGTGTTAACCTGTTGAGATCATTTTCTCTGTTTTTATCTGTTCTTTTAATTGTTTCCTTTTTCATTTTCCTGTAATCCTGACAAACATTTTTCTTATTAAATGTTATGATCTATTTTAGTTTTTCAGTATCTGGTCTTCTCTTTTCAGTTTTGGGGGGTATGTTGCATCATAGAAATTATGATTATTGATATGAATATTGGTTATTCTGAATATTATTATGCTGTGGTAAATTACCCAGCACACAAAACAAAGGAAGAGTGTTGTATTACAATTTTAAAACCATATCAGCAAATATAATTTCGGTTTGAAGTTTCATTTCACCTCATTCACCTCACCTTTTCATTTCATTTTCACATCTTATTGAAAGAAATGAACTAGTGAACTAAAACATTTGGGTAATTAACATATGTGGTACAGACTGACTTATTAGATTACTTTGTTCTGACACAATGAGTCTCAATTACCAACCATTCTTAAGAACTTTCTTCTTAAAACCCGCTCACACAGTTTTCATGAAGATTCTGAAATTCACTGATGTTTTCTTATTTGGGTTTTGTTCTTAGGAAAGAACAGAGTCTACACACACTCAAGAGCACAAAGGTGAGAACAGTTCTGTGGTTTATGAACATGTCATGAATCTGTCATAGACATAGTCATAGGACCTTTCTTAAGAACAAATTTAAGAAAAGAACATATATTGGTTTTAGTGATTTGGTGGATTTGGTCATATTGTTGAATGAGGCCCATTGTTCTGTACATTAATGCATTTTCTGCCTCCAAACATGAAACGTGAGTGCTTTATACGTTGTCTTTTTAAATTATATTTACTAAGCAGTGCCAGGACACACTGACGAGTCCTCAAATAAGCTAGAGATCTGCAGGCCTCTTCTGCACTCGTTCACAAATCTGACGTTTAAAACTGCACAAAAAAACACCTCTATGAGTGAATCTTTTCAGTACATCCACCATCTATTAGTTACAAGTTTATAAGTTTGTTAGGCTCTGTTCTTCTCTTGTTTGGGATCCTTTTAATCTAAAATAATAAACCTATGTTCACTATGTTCTCACAAATGGTCGTTCAGTCTATATTAATGACTGGTTTGAAGTTAAAAAATATAAACTCGTTCACAAAAGATGAACAGGCCATTCATGCATGACATCTCAAAACTAAATCTCAACTGAAACAGTTAATGAAATAAAGGTTTGGGCCAAAGTATCTCCTAATTCCTAATCCCTGCACAAGATTAATCACCACCTACAGAGAGCTTTTAGCTGAGGTCAGTGCCAATGAAAAAAAATACCAAATGATCCCTGCAGTGTATTCTATTGTGGAAATACAGTAACAGTTTCAGGCCTGTATATTAAAGGACACAGTAGAATTGTTACTGGTGACTGTTGATGAAATGGCAGTTTACAAATGTATGTATGTTTCATGTTATTTCTGACTAAAACAAACAAACAATACAGATGACCTCATGCCCTCAACCTATGATCGTCACTGAGAGTTCAGCTTTGAAAGGTTGGAAAAAATGAGTTACGCCTAAAGGTGGAAATGCCTCTTAATTGCAAGCTTTTTTGTAAGGGTTTGTATAAATTTGTAATTACTTTTATTCAGTTGTTTACTGATTTATTTCACATATCAGATATCAGTATTTTTCACTACTTTATAGTCTTATCTAAAAGTGCACAACAGCTCAGGAGAGTGAGAAAAGGTGATCAACAGCTCCCCGTTCTCCTTTAAAACCTTACAAATTTAATTATATAATCATACATAATATAAATAATTTAATAATTTATCCCTATCTGACCCATTCATAGGACTTGTATCAGCCACTAGACTCTATATTAGAGAACTCAATTCATCAGTTAGTGAGAATAGTCCACCACCCAAAAGTATCCAGCCAACAATATCCCGTAGCCAGCAACTGATCACTAACGAAGGCCTGCAAAGTGGACTGTGGACAGTGAGTGGACACAGTGTTTCATAATACATTTTAATAATACTTGCTCAATGGTTTGATGTTTGACAGAAAAAAAACTGTGTGTGACCAGCAGCACTGCTGTGTCTGATCCACTTGTACCAACACAACACACATTAACACACCACCACCACATCAGTGTTACTGCAGTGCTGAGAATGATCCACTGCCCAAATAGGGTCCATGGGGGTCCTGACCGCTGAACAGGGTAAAAGGGGGCTAACAAAGTATGCAGAGAAACAGATGGACTACAGTCTGTAATTGTAGAACTACAAAGTGCACCTATATAGTAAGTGGAGCTGATAAAATGGACAATGAGCATAGAAACAAGGAGGTGGTCATAATGTTACGCCTGATCGGTGTAGATGCATGTGCATATAGATCTACAATTACAGACTGTAGACTGAACATGAATGAACGAGCTAAAGGAATGCTCACAAATTATGCAAAGAAACAAATCTGTAACTATACAACCACAAAGTGATACTGATAAGTGGAGCTGATAAAATGGACAATGAGTGTATATTGATGGTCATTAAATCTCCAAAGCTGCACCATTATTAGGGAGACACTAGGGGGAGATCTTACTCAATACAACCTAATTTTGTCACCTGAAAAGGCTTTGTTGTGAAAATAATGATGGACACACTTAACAATGATCTTGCACATTTTCTGTCAGTGGAAGATGCTGTAGGTGTTTCCTGCATTGGTAGAAAAAAAGGTGGTAAATAAAAGTTGCAATAAATCTTATGTTTGGGAAGTCAATTCAAGAAGTCTAGTAATATGTATACTTTGTGCAATTATGTGTGTTGCAAAAAGGCACTGCAGTGCGGTGGTCAGTCATTCTGCGTCCTGACCGGATGGCTACACTGCGATTCCATGATAGCCAGTACTGCAGTATGAACCCTCTGATAGATGGCCTCTCCCTCTGGAGTGTGAAACTTGAACAAGCCCTCTCCTGTGTCACACATTCTGCAGAAAGAATATGTCAGAAATGCCAAAAGGCTCGAATGTACAATACACCAACCAGCCAAGATAAAATAGTGCAAAACTTTGTGAATACTTGGCTTAATGACAGGACAGTTTTTAATAGATTTGTTTTTGATACCTACCTGCCAGCTTCAATGGTAAAGCAGGTGCGGTCTCGTCCATATCGTCGCAGTACCTTCAGAGGCCATGATGCAATTCTCTGCCTGGGGTCATGGGCATTGTACAAGTGAATGGCCTTGTGTGTGATTTGGAGTGTACACTCTCCATGGGCTGTGAAGCTGTCAGATGGCAGCGGGAATACATGGTACTGCACTGACATATGAAACAAAAGACAACATGCATGTATCCTGTTACCATCAATATGCAAATACTCTGTAGATTGCTACAAGACTGCTAAACCATTCCAGTCTACCTTACTAGCTTACCTACCTTACTACCTTACTAAATATTGTAAAAAACATGTTTTCCCCCTTACCCTGTCAATGTAATTTATTAGCCAAGACATGGTCAGTGTCCAATGTTTGCTCAAACAGCAAATATAGCCAATATATCATAATATTATCTATAAAAATGCACAAATATATGTTGCATAGCTAAAACTGTATCAGGCACTTTGACGCCTGAATTATGTCTGCACGTTTGCCCAGTTATATAGAAAACATTAAGTCACAAATAGGTATAATTTCTGGTGGCTGAGTGAAAAATGGGGCATATCAAAAATGCAGTTTGTTGAAGGGTCATTATACCAAAATAGTGCTATGCAGGGGTTCTCACAAGAAACTTGGACGACTCTAAGTGCTGCTCCACAACCTTGTCAGAACCTAGCCCCGTCCTCCAAAATAATATTCAGTTAATGCTAGGATCAATAACCCAACACTACCATCAGGAAAACACCTCTTTTAGAACTAAACAGAACTATACTTGCTCTGATGCCACAATAGAAAAATTAACATTTTTACATAAAAACATGTTTGACTTTGCATATTTTAAAAAACAAAACCATTTTTCAAATGATTAAGGTCAATATTATTTTATTATTAAAATTGTTGCATTTACAGATCATTTACAATCATAATCATTGATTTCCACATGTCCCTATGTCTGATTTTGCACCTCCTGATGAAAAATTCATAGAATTATTTTCAGTTTTTATGTAACAAATTATGCTCTTTTGCTATGAAAAAATAATTAAATATTAGTATTTGAAAATTTTGTAAAACAACATAATTTCTTTGCATTCCAACACCTTAAGTCAGCCCTGTTACTGTGAGCGTCTCTGTGAGGCTTGGTGTTGTCTAGAACGCAGCATATGTTGTGTCAAAATGTATTCTGTGTTAATGGTGCTGTCACAGATCTGCAGGTTACACACTAATGCCCCCCCCCCACCATACCCCCCAAGTGGCTTTTGAACTTTATGTTAGTAACAATCTGGATGGTCTTTTCTTCTTTGCCAGAGAATATGATGTCAATTATATCTATAAACAATCTGAGGTGGTTTTCAGCCTTGTCATTAATGCGCAGAGATTTCTCAGATTCCCTGAATCTTTTGATGATATTATGCATGATAGAAAGTGAAATACCTAAAATCCTTGCCATCCCTGGCTGAGGAACATGATTTTAAACCTGGTGGATTTTTTCTGATGCCTCGACCCATCCTTGCTCATAAAGGTCAAGGCTTTTTGTGGATGCGCCTTTTATACGCAATCATGATTGATTCACCTTTTAAGATGTTTTGTGAACATTTTACAAATAAAATAAATGAAAAATTACAAAGTTTCTGTCTAAACCTTTTTGAATGTCTTGCAAGCATCAATTTCAAATTGAGCATAGCTGAGAAGACATATCTCGTCTCTGTAGTTTTTTTTTTTTTCAAATACAGGTAGATTTATGAATCACTGCTTTCTGCTTTTATTTAAATTTTGCCTACTGACAACTTTTTTGGAATTTGGTTTGTATGCTAGGTATGTCAGAAATGTTTCTGTTTTCCTGTGTTTGGTTATTTTACAGTATCACAAAAGTATTAGAAAAGGCGATAGAAGACAAAACAATTAACCCGTCTTTATTTCAGCTGTCTCTGAAAATATGGATCAGTTAACTGCTGCAGAGAAGCAACAGCTTTGACCTGAATAGTTCATCAGTACCTGCTGAACCACCAGGATATCTAAGGCTAGTCGGGTGTCCTAGCATTTTTCCATAATGTGGCAGGTTAAGATTGATGCTAATACCTGACAGGTTTGATCCCCTGAGCTGACAGTACATGACTGAGGCCCGAAGGCACCTAACCCTCAACTGCTCCCCGGGCGCTGCAGATAGGTCTGCCCACCGCTTCAGGCAAGTGTGCTCGCTGCCCCCTAGTGCATGTCTTCACTAGTGTGTATGTGGTGTTCCACTGCATGGATGGGTTAGATTGTGGAGGTGAAATTTCCCTATTGTGGGACTAATAAAGACCACTTAATAATAATTATAAATAATAAAAGTATTATTTAGGTGTTGAGGCAGAATGTCATGATGGGGAACCCATTTCAGATAATGAGAGGAAAGTTAGGTGGTGATCTATGTTTACTTCATAAAAGCTTTTTTAGCTGAATTTCAGCGCTAAGTAGCATGTTGGTGCTCATATCCAGTGCTGTAACTAGACATGGGCCAACATGTAGCATGTAGTCTGTCTGTTTTAGGTTTGGGTTCATAAGGATCCAGAGCCCAGATCAGCTGCATAGTGAGTTCTAGCTTTGAATGTTTTACAGTGTAATTATTGTTAGTGTTATAGAGTTCTGAAGTGATGTGTACTGTTCTTATTTCAGACGATTTTTTTGCCTCGTTGCCTTTTCAAAACAAAATGACACACATACCATACTGTGATTTAGGTATGCTGTTGGGGAATAAGCATTTTTAACTACATTAGCCTCATAGCTTCTCTGCAAAGGAAGCAAATTTCATACACCAAACATGCTTTGACTGACTGAATAAAGCAAAGGTGTCCACTCTTATCTGCAAAGGGCAGGTGTGGCTGTTGCTTTTCATTCCAAACGAGCTGGAGCACGCCTGTTTTCACTTGCTTAATCAGTTGGTCTCAGTCTTAACAATTGATCAAGTATGCTGCAGCCACCTGCAGCCACACCTGCCTGTTGCAGATAAGATTGGACACCACTGCAATAAAAGAAAAAAAAAAGTGTTTTGATTTTTTGCCAAACTATCACTTAAACCAGGACCAAACTTTTAATGAGGTCCATTTTACAGGGAAGTGACCTACTGCACATAGTGAATATACTAACTGCAGAAAATTGACCGATTGGCAATTTCTCCTTAAGTTATCCTTTAGATATTTTTAAGCCCCTCCAATGAAAAACCATTCCCCTTTTTCTGGATGATCATTTATTTTATTTGTTTTTTTTTGTTTGTTTATTTTTTTTTTTACTTTATTTTGTGCAACCTTTCACATTAAAAAGCCAAATTGTGCTTTATTCACATTTTAGTTATGGAACTCCTATTTTGGCATTTTTTACATAATTTGAGAGTGGCAACTGGCCTTTATGTTGTCTTTATGATGGATGGACCAATAGAAATGGTCCAAAATATATAATTTCTATCTCCTGTAAAGTTACCATTTTGGAGATTTTGTTCAGAGAGGGACGATATGCATGAAAGCAAGCAGTAATACATTCAAGGAGACACACCACACTCTTCATTCCTTATATGACAGAGCAAGTCTGGTTCACCAAAATCAAGTTTCTTCTTCCTTTCTTGAATACAGTATATGTGTAGCACGTTGTACCATTCATCAGCTTCTGCCTCTGTGAAGAACAAATGCGTATGTTGCATTTATATGGATTCCAATTTAGGAGCTACAGAATCTCTTCTCAGGATTATAGATACCTTAGCAGTTCACTCACCTGACTTACAAGCAAAAGTCAGTGAGGACTCTTCCCTGAACTCAAGCATCACTGCATGCTTCTTCTGCTGTTTTGGAACTCTACTGACATTCTTTACGTTGGTCAGACTCATCACCTGAAGATGATATTCAACAAAACAGTCTTTAGTATCCACACATTCAGCAGAAACAGTATAGGATGTGCACTTAAAGGGAAATTTCACAGATTTTTCAAATGTCTGCACACTTTATAAGTTGTACTATAAATTAACTTATTCAGAGTAGTTTGATGTAGATTCATGCATTGTAGAGAAACACACTGACTTAATTGTCTTTACAGTGTGGTGATAGGAACCAGCTCACAATGTTTACACCTCCAAGACAGATGTTTTATTGACCATGTAAAATGTTAAGTGAACTTACATGTGCCTTCTGAGCTTTATGTGTAATGTTGATGGTAAAATAGTGGTACAAAAGTTTCCTTTAGAGACTGATTTGGCCTCACAGCATCCTGCATGTACCTCTCCATCATGAATGTAATATGTTTTAGGCCCCATGTGTCAACACAAGGCCTGCGGGCCAAGTCAGGCCTGTGACACAGTCCTTCAGGCCTGCAAATTTATTTTAATTTTCGATTCTTATTAGCTTGTTTTACCCTGAGATGCACTACAGACCCCAGTATGCATTGCAACATAGTATGTGTTCCAACCCCCTTCTCCCAACATCAATCTATGGGTCAGCGGTTACATCAAAAGAAAAGATGTCTGGTGACTAGTTCAAGCAAATAGGCAAAGAAGACTTCTTTTTTTTTAGTTTTAAAAAACTACCTAAAAAAAAAATTATTTAGATTTGTTTTGGATAAGTATTTAATGCCTATTTAATGCGTATTTTGAATGAACAATGGCCACTCGGGTCAAGACAAAATGTTAAGTAAAAATGAAATAAAAACACAGCTGGCCCACGGATTTGCTGAGATTTTTTAATATGACACTTTTAGTGCTTAAATTTGACACCCCAAAACCTTTTAGGCCAAAACCTTATCGCAAAGTTGTTGTAAAACAATGTCTCAAGCATCAGACAGCTTATGCATAGGTATTTCAACGTATAGCTTTTTGTGATTAGCTTTTTGACGTCAGATGCTTCAAATATTTGATTCCTATCACCACCTCTGTGAAGAACATTTTGACTTAGTAAGTTCTCTAGAATGGAGCATTTCACATCAGCCCACTCTTAATAACATTATCTACATCTTTACCATTTAACCATGCAGAAATGATGAAAATCATCCCCTGTTTGTGCATTCTTTTATATGATCATGATTAAATAACTTGCCTTTTGGGGGCTTTTAGTACTGGTGGATCGCTGGTTCGAGTATTTTTCCAGCATATCGGGACCCTCACTAGAAGCCCTCTTCATCACCAGCCAGCATTTCTGATAGATCTAGTAACAGGATTACAGTGTATTAGTCTCTTTTCTTCACATCCACATCCAGATTTATGATGTTAAGCTGATATATGATGAAATCTCCTTGCTGCATAACAGCTTTAGGAATATATTACAATTGGATGAATACATGCATTGTTTAATCGTTAACTTCATCAATACACTCTGCAAATATTACACAGACTAACACCTATTACACTTCATAAGTACTTGTCAAAAAGAATATCCATTGGTATTTCAGCCAAAGATGTGACGAAGAGACTCAGACTTACCCGAAAGTGCCGACTGCGAATCTTCACGCATCCTTGTTTGATTATGTCACTGAAACCTGATGACATCCTGAACTTTCTCTGTTCTCAAAGCAGAAGAGCTGTTGCGCTTTGGCAAGTTGTCCCTTGATTTCTCTACCTGTTTTTCATTTTACAGGACAAAGTGTTCCTGCTCCACTTAGTTGTGTGTTAAAGCTTGAACCTGGCTGGTTCGTAGGTACTCTAGGAGTGCTTTTAGGGAGGAGTGAGGGAGTGGATGACTAATATTGGGACAATAGCAGGATGTGTTCTGGGAAATTGGTCTCCTTCTAAAATGTTTACAGGACAAAGTAAAAAACAAATAACTATGATAATTTTTTTTCACTTAATTTTCAATCTGTGCTGCCAAATTTCAACCAGGTCTCAAAATCTGTGTATTTCTTGAAGGTGAAGCATCTTGCATCTTTGTTTTTAACCTTCAATTTCTAAGAATGTGATTAAACATTAGCTTTGTTAGCTTTATTAGCTTAATGATGTGCACATGTTATTTGTGCTGTTCTGTGCTGCACTGTGGGCTGTGTTTGGCTAGAAGTGACCTGCCTGCTTCCCGGGCGTGTCAGTTGGTGTTGAGCGACGGATCTCTGTTGCTGCCTGTTAAATAAAAGATGCTTATGCAACAGTATTAAACTGTATTAGCCTCATGAATGTATAACATGTTAAAAAGGCAACGAGGACAAAAGCTGGATTACTGTTTGCAAGTTTGTTTGTAGGGATTTTTTAAAGAAGGAAAAAGGAAATCTCACGCTCACACGACCTCTGGCATTAACACAGTCATATGCAAAAGTACAAGGCAGCCAATCAGAACAGAGCTCATTCACATATATCAGTATTAAACTTTGCAAGTAAATAGAAATTCTGTATAAAATTAGCAGAAAAATTGCATATCTAAGTGTATTCCCTGTAGAGGATGTGTTAACTTATTTTCACTTCTCCAAAATATGTAATTTGACCAGGGGTGTTCAAACTTCTGCATATGACTATACTTCAATGATGAAAAACCTCCCTAACAAGACTTTGGCAGTAATAATTATGAAGTGTAATCAGATTAGTGCACAACCATGGGTGAAATGTAACTGGATCCACTCCTCCTTCAAGATAGTACTGGCCCATCAGCTCACTGGAGGATGTATTTACACAGATATCATGTGTGGCTGATGTAACTCTCAGTAACTGCACTCCTAAAATAATATTAGAGGTGTCAAAGCACCGATACTCACTGCCTGATGTTGATGTTTACGCTGACTAAGGCTCAGTATCAGCTACTGGCTTCTTGAACATTTTTTCAAACATGAAATTAAATCATGAAATACTTTAAATAGTTGTTAAAAACAAGATTACTTTGTGAAAAATAACTTAAAATACCCTAAAATGTTTGAATAACCCCAGTGATTTTAATGGAGCAGGTTACCTTTAATTAATGACATTTTTAAATTTAAGTTCCTACAACAGCAAATGTGTAATTCTGAGGTCATTTGCCACAGAAATGTTGTTCCAAAATAAAGCTTTTCCCTATTTCCTAAAAACAAATTTTGTACCTGTATAATATTTCTCTATTTTATTTTTTTTTGCAAGTCTTTTTTATTTTCCCGAGAAAATGTCTCCATCTGCTGGATGTATGACCAGTACTTACTACAACACCTACATTCTAGTGGTGGATTCAAGTGATAGATTAATATATACAATAGTATGCAAAGTTTGGCCACCCCTGGGCAAATAAGGGAACACATTCTCTATAGAGAACACACGTCTGCACCTTTAGTTCACAATTACTGTTTATTTGCTGAATTTAACATATTACAAAACAAAACATGGAATGTGGCCTAGGCAAGAGTTATGGCACATTTTCTATTTTTAAATTTATTTTGATTAGTTTTCTTTAAAATATATTAAACTCGATCAAAAATAAATAAATTAATAAATTGTGCACTACAGTCTGCAGTAAAGTGCCATGTTTAGGTTTATTCCCTGTAGAGAATGTTTTCACTTATGTTCACTTAGAAAATCAACAAAACATGTCATTTGAATGGGGTGTTCAAACATTTGCAAACGACTGCAGATTAAACTAACCTAATGATCTATTTGTTGTTTAAGCTAATAAACCGTTTATGTTTTTAAATCTTAAGGCAGCATAAATTCAAATCAGGCAGCAAACACAGCAGGTGGCAGTTTGAGTTCTCGCTTTATTGCACTCCACTGTTGACTCATTGCAGATTGTTTTGATTTAGAATACACACATGTCTCTAAGGTGAATGACACTGGTAGCGGGCCAAAGCAAAGGGACGTTGAGAAACGAGGGTCAAAGTTACAGTAGCTGATGTTATATCACTTGGCAGTGTTTTCGTGTATTTTTCTGTCAAAGCATCAGGTTCATTAGTTGTGAAATTCCGGAACATGATGACATTGAATCTGTGTCAGTTCAGTATCAGCTGACCAGCCCTCCCGTGGGCACACATCTGAGCACACACACACACACACACACACACACTCACACTCACACACGCACATACACACACACACACACACACACACATCTGAACACACACGCTTATACATACACAAAAACTGTCCCTGACCTGTGGCTCGAGTTTGAAGGAAAACAGCTTATCAGCTTTTTAAACACTTTTTAAACACTTTTACTGTTCTATTCTAGTAAATAATTTGATTTTTTTCTGAAATTTTAGCTGTCTTATTGCTTACTATCTAAGTTGGTTCTTTTGCTTAATTTTAATGTCTTTCCATTCTATATTTTATTGATGTTTTATGCCTGTTTTCTATTTTTCTATTTTTTATAAGGTTGTCATTTCAACTTTTTCAATCCCTTGTAATTTGCTTGGCTACATTGTTCTATTCTAAGTCGAAATAAAGGTTGATTGAATGATTATAGAGCATAAACGAATTGAGAAAGCAAGGTTTGGGCCAACACATTTGGCCTATACATTTGCATTTCACATTTTTGTTCTGACAGAATACTTACATTTTACATTTGAAATGTGGTCAGAGTTCCAGTTTAGGTAATAATGACATTTAAAGTATAATTAAAAAACAATAACTTAATGATAACTAAGCCAATAATGATTTTATTACACTGATTGGTGAAAAACATCATATTTTTAAAAATTGCAAAAAATTGAAAAATGGTATGGCAAAAATCAAAAAATATTTTCAGCCACTAAGTACACATTATTCTATTTTCAGGAGATATAAGATAATCCACTTGCATGACGAAGGAGAAAGTCAAAGGAAAATGAGAAAGCAAAAGATTTTAAAACTAGAGTTAAAAAATATTAAAAGATACAAAAAAACTAGAACTCCTAACAACCATATGAGATCTGGTAGACCACCAAACTGTCCACATCAGATAAACAGCACTTAAACCTTTCACCTTTGAGAGACTTTAATTTAAATAAATGAAGGGTGGTCTCTGACTTTTGCACGTCACTGTACATAGAGAAAGCTAGATTATTTTCCAAAGTATACATTTGCATTTCTCAGTTTTACTCTGGTAGAATATTTGTAGTATGCATTCTGAAGTGGGGACACAGTTACAGTTTAAGTAGTAGTGACGTTTTAATTACAATGTTTTGTTTAATTGATAAACAATAACATAATAACATTTTTTTTTTTAATGATTTTCACTTAGAACATCTAGTCTGTTTTAATGGGATTAAATAATACAGTACTTTATCAACATCTGACTAAATTATCTCTGTAAAATGCTGTGTAACATAATCATACTACTGTTTTATGAAACTTGTTTTAATAACACATTTTTAAAGGTAACACAATATACTAACAGTAACTAAAAAGTAGCCAATAATAATTGCATTACTGAACAAAATCCAATTTGTCAATTGCTTTATATATACAACTTTGATCATTTGATCATTGATCATATTCTACGGTGCCCCCCATAAATATTACCCTCGGTAAACACAAGTTATGGTTATATAAATATATATATATATATATACATATATACTAACAGTAACTAAACTGATATCTTATAATCATTTACCTTTTCTTCTCAAATCAAGGATATATAATGATATAATATTTCCCTTTGCTGGGAAAGCTTTGCACAAGATATTGGAACATTGCTGTGAGAATTTCATTGCATTCAGTCACAATAGCATTAGTGAGGTCAGGTACTAATTAAATGATTAGTTCTGGACTCCACCTCACCACTCCTGCTTGTCCCAGAGGTATTGGATGGAGCTCCATCGCTCCAGATAACACAGTTCCACTGCTCCACAGTCCAGTGCTGGGGGGCTTTATACCCCACTAGCTGTGAATGAACCTGCAGGTATGTTTTATGTTTAAAGGTTAAAGAGGACAAAACTTTCTCCATCTATCACAGTTGGGCAATCACAGGAGTTTGCATTATGAGGTCACAAGATCTCTCTAACTAAACACCACCTCTGTACCTTTGTGTTTGGACGGCTGTCCAGAAAGTCTCTGCTGGTGCCAAACCACAAACATACAGCCAAGAGTTTGCCAAACATCTGTGGATCTTTGATTGCAACCGGGAGAAAGAGACACAAACAAAGCTTTCAGTGACAAACACCAGAGTTGCATTTGGTGTAAAATAAAGTGCAGAAATGGAGAAAAGAACTCATTTCCATGATGAAGTATGGTGGTGGATCTGTGATTTTATTGGACTAGTTTTCTTCCAAAGGCTTTGGCTATCTTGTTGAGATATATAACATCATGGTCTCCATCAAATACCAAGAGATTTTAGATTAAATCTGGCTGCCTCTGCCTGTAGACCTGTAAGACTAGGTTTTGTTTAGACCTTCCAGCAAGACAACATACAAAATCCATTTAAAAATGGTTCTCTGACCACAGAATCTGACTTTGCGGTGGCCATTTCAGTCATAAACCCCACTAAAAATCTGTGGTATGATAGGGAAGAGTCCATGGGTGAAAACTTGATTTTGAATGGAGGAATGGTCTCAGATCCGTAAGCTGTGACTGTGAAAAAATATTTCTGAAACATTGAAAAATGAATGAAGGTTCAAGGTGAGATCCCTTTATATATGTTCTCCCAGCTCAACAGTGTTAATGCATTTAAGAAAATTATTATTTTAAAAGTATGTTTAAGTCTCTAAAAAGATTAGATTTCTCTCTTATTTATGGTGTAAGATCAATCTAATAAACCAAAAAGCAGGCAGAACACTCTCAGAAATAAAGGTATGAAACTTGTCACTGGGGTGGGAGCCTCAGGGGTACATCTCAGTACCTTTAGTCAGGGAACATAACTG